TTAAAAAATCCGAAATTAATAATCATTATATATGACCCTAACTAAGTTTTGATCAATTAGTTTATTGAACACCCTAACGACCCGTGATTGATTCACAACGTTGATTTCAACTTTCCTAAATATTAATCTTAAAATAATACAGTACCGTATCTACGCGAAAAACTTCCATGGACATTATTTGAGACAAGTAATTTGAAGAGAGCTAATAATTAATTTAGCAAAAGAATTATTAACATTAAAATTATGATTGTATTCAGCTAAATTAAATATTAGCTCTCTTTGAATTACGTGTCCTAAAATAATGTCCATGGGCGTTATTTCGCGCGAATTCGGTAAGAAAATTTGAGTTGAAACCCTTATTAAATGATTGAATTACGGTAGTGTTTCGATCCTTAATCCGACCATCTGAATTGTAAATATCCAGACCAGAGATTTTTATTCAGATTTGTCAAAGAACTTAAATAACGGACATAAGGGTGTTCTCAAAGCTAGCTTTATATTTAATCTGACACGGATTCAATCCGGATTTAATAGAATCCGAATGGTCTGTCAAAGATGGGATCGGAACTATGATTGAATACTAATTTCCGTTTTTTTTTGAAATTTTATGTTATGCGTTGATTTATATTCTGGTTGGGCAAGTAATAGTGGACTGCCAAATTTTTATGTAATAACCTTATATTTCGAAAGTAGTTTAGTTTAGAACCCTATTAGGAATGATATATTTTTTTTCATCCTATCAGGAACAGGAAGATCCATCAGGAACGGTATTTTTGCCCTCATAGGGGCTGTCAAAAATTTTTGAACATGTGAAAAATTTCACACTCTATTATTGACCAAGTATAGTAATATATTAAAATAACAAGCGAAGCGAATATTTGTTTTGAATAATGTTACAAGCTATAAGGTTTTTATTGGCTGGCTAAGGCCAAATTTTTTACTTTCGAAAGATATTGGAAATTTACTACCTTGCTCATCTTTAATGTTTATTTTCTTTTTGGATCCTTGCTTTCTATTATCTAATTCTGGTTGATATTATTATTCTGGTCTAAATTATATTATCTAAAGATCTTAAACTATATTAGCTAGCCGATCATATTACATCTGCGCTATAGCTACCCCGGGTCATCCTTTTTTTTATCGTCAGGTCATTATAAAAGTGATGGTAGTCTCCGTCATCACACATTCCCTCTAAATGCCATTGCCCAGTTATTTCGAAATTATGAACCTTTGCGAGCCAATTATGCAGGATTCGGTACATCTCTGCATCGTAGACGCTCTCTCTAGGGACATACGTATTACACTTAGAATCTACAAGCAAATGGTTCGAACTTTTGTAGGAGCGGGAAGATCCTAGTGCAATTGTTTTTGGGTCGAATGTGCGAACAGACTTTATCACTTCAAGAATGTCCATTAAGCCATTGGCTCGCAATGGTATATCTATATCAGGAAACAAGCAATCTATATCAGGAAGCACGCGTGGCTTTTCTTCGGCAATGGATCTATTATAATTGTGCTTTGCCTTTTTCCTGATATAGATGATGATAGTGATGGTAATGCGACAGTGACGACGATGATGGCAATGACAGTACTTCCTTTTCTTCGCTAGCATTATTCCATAAACTACTTACTTTATTTATATCGGCCTATACAAAAAAGTTCAAATGAGAAATATTTCACAATAAGAATAATCAAATAAAAATGATAAGATGGTTGAATGCAGGAATATGCCAATGGTAAAGTTTTTGTTGATATGTAAAGGAAGGTATATAACCGATTTCTCCTCCAGAACCTTTATCAAAAACTTATATCATATTAGCATTATCCATCATGTTTACTAGGGCGAAGTTAATAAACGCATCCAGTCAGTGCAAATGATACCCCAGTCCTATCAGGGCGAAGTTAACAGGTACAAGCACCTGGCTATAAACCACCATCTATCTAAATTTATTATTAATATACTTACCCTTTTACTTTTTAAGAGATTCAAAATAACATTACGAACATGCAAGGATCGTTATTAATATTATATATTGCGTTATAAAAGGCACCTTTTTCTCAACGCATTCATAGTTATTGATGATCAATAAATCGTAATTTTGGAGTGACCATTTTTCATTCAAAATACTTAGTGTAAGGGATGTTTTTAGAGGTTTTGTGAGCATAGCGAGTAGTCATTACGTAAATAAAAAAAAATTCAAATCAGCTAACAGAAAATTACACGTATAGAACTTACCTTACGGTCTTTTTATGTGAGAAATTATTTTGTTGCACAGGTTCTCGTGTCACAAATAAAGAAATTTTCTGATCATATAGTGTTAACGCGTTAACAACGTGATCCTGCGCCTAAAAATAAAAAATTCGAAATATTTTTTGGGGTCAATTGCAACGTAACATTTTATAACAACCAAAAACATGCTTATTTAGTCGCATACGCATTTTGATCATGAAAAAATTTCTTTTTGTTATTTTTTTCATGTGTCACTATGTAATTATGTTTATTCCAATATTCAAAATTAAAACTCGGCGAATTGTCGAATACGGCAATTTGACAAATGATTGGCTACACGTGCCGCAAAGCTCATCGTGATTTTTATCCAATTGGGATGTTAAGGTTAGGGGTTAGGGTTATTTTAGATTAGGTTAAGTCACGTGATTCGGGAGATCCAAATTACCGTTATTCTTTTCCCAATAATGTATACTTATTTGGCAGAATTTCAATTACATCATCAAAATAACGGTCTGTTGCTGCGCCATGATCATATGAGTTTGTCGGATAAAATATATTAATTTTTTGAAGAAAAAACTCAAATTATATTCGGACGCCAATATCTCATGACCCAGTGATCGAAATCAAATTATTTTCATACCATTCGAATCGTCTCGATGAGACGAATCGAATGGTAGTAGAATTACGGAATCACAAGATATCGCAATTCGTCAAATTACCCCTGTTTACCTTATATATGTATTTAAATGATTTGATATTTAACTTGCTTCACGTTTAATAATTCATGAAAATTTACTATTATAAAGGATACCTTTTAATTGCATCTTATTCATGTTAATTTAATGATAATAAAGATCTTAATATAATGAAGTAATATAATACAATAATTGTTAAGTACAATACCTATCTACTCTCGTGCTATGCTAAATTCAATTGAGACCTCAAATTTACTTAGTGTCGCCCAGAAAAAAAATGGTAGCCGGATAGTTAGGATGGAATTAAATTGACCGAGTTCGGGACGCAAACCGTCATCGTTTGAGGCAAAATCGGTTGAACTAGTTACATTCATAAAAAGTTATTTGTATGTTACAAAAAATTGTACAGTACCTTGAAGACGGTCAACCGATTCTCGAATACACTAAACACAACCTGACCGATTATTTATACAAGTTTTTTTTTTTAATTTTATATAATGAGTCTTTAATAGAATTCTCGACGTAGTGATTTTTTATTAGTAGACTCGATGGTTTTACTATGAAGAGAGTGAGAAAGATGTCTTTAGGAATACCGCTGAGCATGTTAAAACATTAAATGCAAATTTAATTAATAACGATCTCTTTTATAATGGCAGATTATTCGGAAAAGTAGGATGGGGTATTAAGAAATTATGAAAACCAAAGGCAAAGTTTTTCTTCTATATTTTTTCACTTCATCAATCATATTAATAGAATCAAAAAAAAAAATTCTTTTTGTACTAGAGATTGGAGCCTCCTAGAATTTTTCGAATCGCTTAACCTTTTAATCGTGATATTCAACCGGCATTAAGATTATTTGACTCTTTAAAGAAAAGCTCTTCAATTCATTTTGCGGAACACTATTAATGTTTTCTTATCCGCATTACCGTAATTTTTATGCCGAACTAATACTACAGTGTTTGATTTAATACTGTATACAGTAGAACTTCGTTTCTAAGTATCTCAAAAACTTTGATTCTTTTTCTTTTGTATTGTTAACGTTGACATCTTAACATCTCTAATTAACCTAAAAACTTCACTGAGCTTTAACCAATCAAACTTAGTAATTTCTGATAAGAATCTTGAGATTTAGCGAAATATTATCTAATTCTGACAATAATGTTAATTCCCGAATATTGATTAAATATAACTGTTAAATTTCGATACGTATATATATTATAAATATATATATATATGGGAGATGGGGGTATTGTGGACAGGGGGTCAAGTGAAAAATATCTTGTGATCCAGTGATCAGAATTAAATGATTTTTGCACCATTCGGTTCGTCTTTTTGAGACGAATCGAATGGTGCAAAAAATATTTTTCACTTGACCACAATACCCCATCTCCCTCATATATATATAATATATATATACAGTATATATATTTTATCAAAAATAGGCCGACAATGTTGATCCCTAAATTTAGGTGTGTTACCAAACCAAAGTTTATAAAAAAAAAAAAAATTAAAGTTTTTACCAATCAAATTTTTTTTGAGTTTGGTAGCATTTCATAGGGTAGACATAGCATATAGCAACATAAAACATTAAAGTAGTATTACATCATTTTTTTCATAATTTCGCTGCATTAATTTCATTTTTTACATTTTTTGATATCCAATAAATAAATAAATTTTCTTAATCACTATTAGAACCGGTATAACTATTAGCAAATTCTTTTATTAGTTCTTTGCAATTGTTAAGCATATTATTGTAATTAGTATGGTGGCCGGATAAGGAAACCACGGTAAACTGATAATTTTTGTGTGGCCTTTTTTAGATCAAAGTATTAAGTTAATAATAAATATTGTAAATATGTAAATAAATCATTGAACAAGAGCAGTGTTGTAACTTACCTTGCCATAAGAAAATTTTGTTCAAATGCGTTATAACTGTAGTAGTTTTTATCTGTTGGGAATTGTTCTTGATCCATTCGGTCGAATAAAGAATGAAGTAGGGTTCTTTGAGATTCTGAAAGTAAAGAAATCTTATGTAACTATTTTATAAAATATTATTTAATATATTTAAATTATTTAATAAGTTTAATAAGTTTAATAAGCTTGACTAAACAAAATAAAAAAGACAAAAGATAAGTATCATCATACATTATGCAACATTCGTAGCAACATTTCAAGCAGAATAGAGTCAACATTTGACATTTCGATCATTCCCTTGACCAAAGAAATAAAAAAATCAATAAAGTTTTCAGAAAAAATGTCTTTGATCCATGATGGTTGGAATGACGTGAACTTTTTTTTTAAAAAAATTAATGTCAATATCATGTTGGTAAATACGAAGAGATTTAATTAAAATAGATGAATACAAACATATTGTGTAATATACACAATCCCACGCAAAAGATATGTTCTCAACACGGAATGAGAACAGTATTTGCTACAAATATTTGGTTTTATATCGTTCGTCGAATTTGTGTAATGATATTGAGCATATTGAACAATGGTTTTTAACATGAATAGATTCCATTTATTTTCTATCAAGTAATGTCCTTTTAAATCGAGTGTTAAATCGAGTGTGTAATTAATTTTTTAAATATTAAATTTATCAAAGAGAGAGTATATGAAAAGGTTTTGAAAAAAAAATGTACCTAAATCGGCATCACTTTGTTTGAACATTATTTCGAAAGCATTTGCAATCGGTAAAAGCATGAACCATGTGAATTGATTATCGATCTTGAAAATAAATGTTAAACGGTAGTAGTTTTAATCAATTATTCCAATAATTTTGCGATAATATTCAATAATAATGAATGAATACCTCTGATACAATAAAATCTCTAAAAATATTCCAGATATTTATATAGATCAATCTGGTTTTTTGCTTAAATTCTCCTGAAGTCAGAGGACGAAACCCAGTTGAAATTATCGAACAAATATGACCTCAAAAATATATATATATATTTAATATTACTGATAATCTAACTAGTTAATTAGTTATTTTTGATATTTTATAAATAAATATTCACCAACAAATAATGAAGGTTCGCGCCTAAACATATTCATTATATCATCAAATTCATTTACCGTAGGAAATAAAACAAACTCCTATGAAATTATTTATTTACATATTTGTAAACGATGGTATAGTCATATTAAAAAAGGTACCATATTAAAACCAACCTGTTTAGTGCAATCATTAGACACGTTATTGCTTTCTTCAACACTCGGAATTGTCAGACTCAATAATCCAACAATTGAAGATTTCACTTCAATATTAATAGTTGCTAATGCTGCGGATGAAGTTGTATTCTCAATAAATTTATTAACATCATAATCAATATTTTGATTAGATGATAAGGTCCATTGTCTAAGAGCTTCGAGAAGCATCGGATGTTGCCGAATTTCTAGCATCACTTTAAATTTCAAACCATTTAAGATTAATATACATATATGGAAAGATAAAATAAAAACAACTTACCAACTTCATTTTGAATACAAGAAAAAATTGTTAAAAAATGAATTAAAAATGTTAAACGCGTAGTTTTTGTAATTATTTCATCTCGACAATTATTATTATCGATTTCGGTGATATTTTGTAATATTCTAAAAATAAATATAAAATAAATAAATAAATAATATAAAGTAATTTTAAGATTTCATGTTTAAAGTTTTCCCTGTTGCTACTACAAGCATTACTTAACGTTAATGCATGCAGGGAGATCTAAGTTCAGGGGTATGACTTCAATCACAGTATTTGTAATTACTTTAACACATGGTCCAATACTAAATTTAAGAAAAGTTAGATGTTTCATGCATGCAATTAATCGTGATACATTTTACATACCTCCAGACAAATTTGTCACACCAATTAAAGTTTCAATTGGATCAAAATGATAACCCAATATTAAAACGATAATATTAATAGTTGGCCACCCTATAATTTTTAAATCCGTTAGTAAAATGAGAGAATTTACTTAAAATTGTGTAAAAAAAAAAAAACTTACAATCAGTAGGAACATTTTCAATAATTCCAGGAGCACCAAATAATTTTAGAATCTCTGTCCAAAATTTTGCAAAGTTATGAAACAATAATTTTTTGTCCTCAACAATATCTTCATTATTATCAACTTCATTAATCTCATAATTACGATTAAATGATATAATACAAATAAAAATTGAGGAAATAATATTAAATAATCTTGTTATATCATTATTTTCATTATTTTGTTTGTTATTGTATGTTCTCAAACTTGAGAATATCAACTATTTGATTCAAAAATAACACAATTTGAATTGTAAAGTAAAATTTTGTAAGAACATGTAACAAACAAATCATATGATAAAAATATTTACCAACAAAATTTGAACAGCAAACGAATTTTGGAATAAAAGATTTCCAATTTTTAAAAGATTACGAGTTTTTGGATTCACACTGAAACAGAAATTTCCATTAATTACAAAAGAAATATCTAAAGGTTTAAAATCTTGAAACTTTAGAAATAGCCATCTGATCATCTAAAAAAAAATAAATAAATAACGTTTAATTAATAATAGAATCAAAAAGAGACAAATTTCATTAATTCGTATGATAAATACTAACCAGATTAGAAACAAATTCCTTTAAACTCCAACTACCTTCACAAACCTTCCAAACCCATGGCATAAATACGGAATCATAATTAAAGAAAATATTTTCTATAATTGAAATTTCGGACTTGTCGGTAACATCATTAGGTTGAATTACTAAAGTCGATTGAAGACTTGATATTATCTTTGAATTTGTATGTGGTTTGAATTCTATAAAAAATTAGGAAAAAATTATATTTTAAATGATTGTGGGATAATATAGGAAAAAGTTTATTTACCAGACGAATTATTACATTCAGATTCAGAAATCTATTAATAATTAAAAAGTATCAATAACAGAATTAAAAAAAAAGAGTTATCTAATAAAGCTATATATTCTCACAATGTATAAATATAAAAAATGAATCATTGAAACTCCATGAAGAAAATCCAATGAAAAATATTTTGTTATAAATCGCGTTAATGTTTGATAAACTAATGGCGCAGACAATCCGCTGGACTTTTTTAACCTATTTATTAAAAAAAGAGGTAGTAGAATGGATTACACAGTATGAATAGAAATTTACGTACCGAAGTGTGTACTTACATTTGATCATCGCAAGTGAAACATACGAAAAATATTGCAAGGGCAACACGATCCAATTGTTGTTTTAAAGCAGTAGTTTCTTTTGTTGGATCGCTCGCAAGCATTGCTAAAACATCTTGTAGGTTTGCTATTAAAAATGGCATTATTATAACACTATTATAATATAGATAAGCACGTACTAAATATTGACTTACATGGCAAAATTTTGAAAGCAGCATAATCAGGGATTAAATTTCCTTGTCTGTTCACAACAGCTCGCTCACTCGTTACTTCTTGAAATCCAGCCAAAATACGTACCAAAGCAATGAGAAATAAATCAGACACATTTCCGATTGAGTTAGTAAAAGTATTGAACTGAGAAAAAGTAGATTGTTGGTGTTTTTGATGTAAGGCGATATCTATAAAGCCGCTCACAACTACATCAATATAATAGATCCACATGAGACCACATCATCACATCATCACATGAATCGACAAAATATAAATTAAAATAATGCACACCCAATTTTTTTGCGTAAAGTTTTTTCCAGCAATTATCATCAGACTTTTTATCAACTGCGTTTACGTGTAAAGCCGAAGGTATATTAAACAACTTAGTCAACATGATTAAAGATTCCAAAATAATAGGATCATTGATTACGACATATTTAGTGGGTCTATTAGTTGTTTGGAGGTCGAGATGAACCTGAAAGCCGATAATAGCATGCGTTAACTTAGTCATATATTTATATAACAAAGTCCGATATATTACCATAACCACGGGTATTATAACTTCATCTAGAGCTCTAATAATGAATCGATCCAGTTTTACAAGTAAATCGCAAAGTATAGATAAATTTTTGAAAATCTTTTCATTCAAAGCATTTCGAGAAATTTCTTGATTCAGACGTGGAATTTTTGATCCGAGAATTTCTAACATTATAGACACAACTTCTAATACTTTCAAAAAGAATAAGAGAGATATTAAAGATCATGTGACTACAATCGAATGATAGGAGACGTGATGCTAAATCATCACATAAGAACAACCAGTAACATGATGCTAAATCATCACATAAGAACAACCAGTAACATGATGCTAAATCATAACATAAGAACAACCAGTAACATGATGCTAAATCATAAGAACAACCAGTAACATGATGCTAAATCATTACATAAGAACAACCAGTAACATGATGCTAAATCATCACATAAGAACAACCAGTAACATGATGCTAAATCATCGCATAAGAACAACTAGTAGCATGTGAATTAAAATTAAATTCACATGATACTAGCCTACAATCTTATTCATATTACTCACGATGTGTTAAAGAATGTAAACACTCTCCATTCCATCGAATACGATTATTTCCATCATTCCAAGGATTTTCATAAAAATAACGAATCCACCAAACAGTACACATATTTTTAATGTCACTATCGACATTATGATGGTGTTGTAATAGAATTTCTTCACCGATCAACTCTTCACATACAAATTGTGAAACGACACGTCTTATTAACTTGTAAATATCATCATTATTGATTTCATTCACGGTATTTTTATCATCAGAATTGTTTAAAACATTAAGATTGTCATGAATTCTTGAAACAACGGAAAATTTTGTAGCATTTTTAATACCGAAATCCAACAACCAATCGATAATTATTCCGAGTATCTTGATAAGTTGTAGGAATTGACACTGTTGAACGACTTGAGCCGTGGTCGGATGAAAAGGGGTTGAACAAGTTTTGATCTGACCTTTTTAGAGATAGCATGTGCGTTAAATTAAAAAAAAGCAAATAAAAAATGATAAATAAGAACAAGATAAAGCAAGAATAACACCATAATTATAACCATAAAAAAAGAATAATAAATTTATAAAAAAAGAACATTTAAAACGAAGATCTGAAAAACCAAATATAGTTTAACATATGAAATCAAGGGGTGACCATAATCGGAAACAAATTACAGGGATTTGCATGCATATAACCAGGACAAACTATAAAACTAAATAAAGTAACCTTTGAATTCCCAATTAATTCTATAGCTACAAGAGGTAAGATCAAGAAAAATTACCACCAATGATATCACACAAAGTTTGAATGCCATCTGATAAAAATTTCCATAAATTTTGAAGATCTTTTACAGAAAGAGAAGTCGAAGGTATCAAAGGCGTAGAAGATATAGAAGAAGAAATAATCATTTGATCTAATTCAGCGCACCACCTTGCCACGTATTCGGACCAAGAAGAAAATATCTAAAAATAGAAGCGATATGCGAGATATATAGATCTTCTAAGAACGGTAATAACGGTTTACAACAGTCCGATCAAGTAATACAAATATTACCTCTTTTAAAGCATTAAGAAGCTTATTTTGAACATTTTGATTAATATCTAAATTTAAATCCAAATCATTCTTATAATTACTTTCACGAAGTAATTTTAAGAAATGAAAAATTGAAATGAAAGATTTGTGTTGCGAATTAGAAAACATTTTAGAAATGAATTAAATGATTCAAAGTCGAAGAGATCAACACATTTAAAGTTAAAAATATGAAAGATTATATGAAGATAAATATGGTATTATTAACAAAACAAACGTGAATCTTATGATTACGATCAGATGATGCATGATAATGACGAAAGTAAGCATTTGCATAATGCTAAATGATAAAATTAGAGATATATAAAGGACGCGTGTAAAATAAGTCAATAATTGGATAAATTGAAACATATTTACATGAGACCAAACTTATTGTTTTAAAGGCTAATTATACATGACCTAACAATGATTATATTATTATATAAAAATATAATATGTAATACCATAATCGCAACTATAACATTAATATGTCAAACGAGACATGTACTGTACGTACGTACGTATGTACAGTACGAAGGTACGTACGTCTGATCGTGGAACCTACTGTTAACTGGCGCCAAAACGTTTCAGAATAAAAGCTTCAAACGCCTCATCAACTATTATCAAATATTATCAACTATTATCATAATCTTGTTTCCAAATAAGCCAAATCATGTGAATCGGACACTCCCGGGTCATAATTCGGGTTTGAAATACAGAAATATCGGAGATAGTTTAATATATATATATATATATATTGTATATTGTTAGTTTAAAGAATAAAGCTATATTATATTATATATATATATATATATATATATATATTATATATATATTATATTATTTATATTCATAAATATACAATGGAAAGATGAGAAAGGAGGACTAAATACAATGATGCAGTTAGAAAAGATACTTAAAGCGAACTGTTAAACAATGAAATATTGAAATTGTATTATTATATAAACCGCCGAGAATAATGAAAATTTTTCAATACTATGGAAAACTATGGAAAACTATCGCAACTCGGATCATTTCTAGTAACGGTAATAATAAATTAACTTCTTATTTGTTATTGCAGGGATGTTTGTTAAACACACAATTGAAAACTGGTTGGTTATTAATTTAACTTTAATGCAACTAAATTTTTTTTTATTAATTTTTATACGATCGTGGATCTGCAATTCTGACCACTCAATATTTATATAAAGTCGCCCATCCCTGATATACTGTACAAAAAAAAACCAAACAAATTTCTTTCGTTTTATTAAATATTTTTTTTTGGTGTAAATCATAAATTTATAATTCGTGTATCATAAATTATTTTTTGTGTAAAACATTGATTTTCTTTTTCTTTTGTGTTATTAAAACCATTTAAATATCAACCTTGTACAATATTTGCAAAACATCCAATTTCTTTAAAAGAAAGGAAAAACTTATTTTTGATTACTTTTCATTTCATGATGGTTTCTTTAAAGGCGTCCACCAATTTTTCGTCTATTAGTGAACGAGACCTAAATTCTAAACTTACAGATATATTCACTAAAATTGGGCAACTTGGAAATGCACAACAGGTAATTTTTATCATTGTACATTATTGAATTTAATTTAATTTTAATCGTTATTTGTCTAATTCCCCTTTTTTGTAAATGTAGGGCATCCAAGAACTTTATGACTTGTTGCTGGAATACCCAGAATGTGACGTCAAGGTTAATGCATTTCTCGCTACTGCTGGTACTTTCTTTCAAAAATATATTCGTAAGGCGCTAGCTGACCTTACTACTCAAGAAATGCAAAAATGCGGAATGTTGCCTAAAGAACCTTGTGCTCCTGTAACTCCTATACCCACAACGAAGGACTCTCTTTCTCAAAAACGACCGACAACTCCTCAAAACAATAAACCTCCTCATAAATTTTCTATAAATCGTTGTGCAAATAGTAATGGGGTAAATACCAATACTAACTCAGCGAAAGAACTTTCGGTCAAAAATGATTCTCATGAGACGAAATTTGATCCTATGGCTCCAAGAACAAGTATGTTGTATATGTTTACTATTTTTTTCTTTTTATTCGCTTAAGCATTTGTGAACCTATTTAATTTATAATAACTTATAATACCTTTATTTTATTTTTTATTTTTTTTTTATAGAGGCTTTCATAGAAAAAGTATCTCAGGAAACTTTTGATCAAACACGATTACGTCTTCATGCCATATTTCAATATGAAAAGTACAAGGTAATTAACTAATTTAATCGTATTTTACTGTTTATTATATATATATTATATATTATATATATTATTACCGAATTACACCCAATTTTAAAATTTCTTTTATTTCTTTAAATAGACTGGCCAAAAACGATCAAGTCTACCAAATTTAAAACAAATAGAAAGTGATAGTGAACGATTAGAATTTGTTAAAAGCATCATACGATCTCGACCAAAAGCTCGTCGTTCTACTTGGAATGATTTTAACACCCCATTTACTACTAGGCTTACTGATGTGTCTATTCATGCTAATTAATTTATATCAAACAATCCCGCAAAATTTTTGCACTTTACCAAAAATTCCCTATGATAGACATATGCAGTACGACTATCACCAACCTTCTTTTACCTCAATTATTTTATAGTTTTTGGTAAACTTCTATTCTTTATTTATCGAACAATTTTTTTCAATCTCCTTCGGTGGATCCTTGAGAGATAGATTCTTTGTCATTCATGCACATTCATTTCCTTTATATACCATAAAAAAAAAAACCAAAAAAAAACTATATAACTTACAATAGTAATTGAATTTTACCTGTACTACTACAACGAACTATACAACATTTGGTTAAGATAACCAAATTTTATTAATTTGTTTAGATGGTTGAATAGTTAATTAGAGTGAATTAGATTGATTCTAGAACGATTTTGTTAAATAATGTCAATGTAAATAAATTTTTTCACACTCATTTTGAAAATTTTTTTTTTTTTTTTTTGAAGATTAGCATACACTTTCATCTTTGAGAACTTTTTTTAGAAGTTAACATTATGTATAAACGTATCTTTATCATGAGAAATAAATTCAACCATCCCGTTTACGAGTATTAAAAATTTTTACTTTGATATTTATAAATTATTATAGTAATTTGAACCATTAACCGACCCAGTCTCAATCGGCTCAACCAGGATTGTTTCGGTTGAACCGAAACAACCGAATTATTCAATTATTCAATTTCAATTATTCAATTGATCGTAACTAGTAAAATGACAAAGTAGAAAAAGAACGTACATAGATACCAGGGTTGGATAAATTTTACAAGGGCATAAACCTGATGAAACATGGATAAGAACACGATTCAAATACCATTTTGGTATTTAAATTAGGAATAAATAGCTTGATATAGTTATTTAGACAAACTATTATAGCACAAAATAATACTGTAAGTTATATAGTTATTTAGACAAACTATTATAGCACAATAATACTGTAAGTTATATAGTAATATTTACAATACTAGGTATATATTACATTATTTTCCTTTTTAATAGTATATATATAGGTCGTATAATAGGTGTAATACGCCAAATAGACTCGATTAAGCTCATGAAATTTATTTAAAGAAAAATAATTCCGTTATTGGATTATTGGATGCACCGCACCCTAATAACAGCGTATCTGGCTTTGAATTTAATGTGCTAACCTGGGTCCCGAAGGGGCTCAGGTAGGGATGGTAAAAAAACATTTTTCACCGTTTTAAAACATGTGGTGATTATGATCCGAATGCATTCAATTTAGGCTCCGCATATCAAAATCATAAACATCGCGTGTTTTAAACCGGTGAAAAATGTTTTTTTACCATCCCTAGGCTCTTGTTGTCAAGCACATTAAATTCAAAGCCAGATACTTCTTTTATTTGTCTTCCAAAAGGATTACCAAATATAACTGTTATTGGATGCTACTAGGGGTGCAGGTGAATTGTGCCGTAACTTGTCGTAACATAATAAAGTTACGGCAACTCATTATAATAATTACTTATTACAAAGATAGTTACGGCATCATTGGGACGATTCGCCTGCACCACTAGATTATACACATCCAATAACTATTTATATATTATGTTAATATATTAAGGTTTAAATTTTTTGTACCAAGAACTTATACAAACTTATAAATAATCATAAGGCTAATCTTAAATATAAATATATATATACAGTATATATAGTATAAATTACTATTCTAGTTTTAATATTTGTATAATTAGATTATTATACAGTATTACTATTGATTAAAAGAGCAATTGCAAATATTAATTCAATTTAGCTTTAATAGATAACTAGGTTTGGGATAAATAATAGATATAATATTATAAAACTCTTAATTTTTTTGTTTTTTTTTAAAATATTTGGCAGCCATGCTTTAACTTTATTAGGCTTTGTACTATACTCGTAAGTAGTAAAATTTACAATAAGGCATTTTAGAAAGTAAGTGATAAACTCTTAACTTGTTAGCAGATAGTATATGAGAACTATCTCTAAACAACAAGCACTATAACTCAAATTGTTATCTAAATTACAAGTTAAGACTAACCTGGTTATCCCAATTGGTATCTATATTCAACCTGCTATAGTAAGATTCTCCTCTATATAATCCATCCTGCAATTAGATTGAAATATATCTCAACAGATGGTTCTTACTACCTGTCATGACTATCTTTCTTTCTTTCAAACTTCTTCCATCTAGATCCAGACAAAATAGTTTAACTTTTATTATTACATAAGAGTAGGGTTCCTAGGTTCAGTTCAGTTCAAATTTAGGTTCAATGAACCTGAACTGAACCTGAACCTGAACCACAAATTT